TGGCTTGTATATACTATTGTAATGGATCGGTGGACTGTATGGGTATGTAAATGGTGAAAACACGTAGATTATGATAATAAATATATTAATATGCAGCTGAGAAATATGTAAAAACAATGTAAACATAATTGAAATGTATCAAAAACATGACATAAAAATAACTGTTCTAAAAATATAAATAAAAATATCAAAATAGTTTGCGGCGGCCGGACGCTAACAACTGTTCTTGAAAAAAGTATATTACAGTATATAATATATTTATGTATTAAAAAAAAATATGTTGTAATTAAAATGTATTTGTGTGTTTTTATTTCTTGTTTAATATCAATAGTACAAGCTCTGGTAATTTGGGGTAAAGATGATAACAATGTGGTTGTTATTATTTAATTAATATTATGGTAGATTCAAAGGAGAAATGCATCTTTCTGTCTTAGTGATTGTTATAGTTTTCTTTTTATTCACATCCTGAGGAGATAAAAACCATCGCTCCTAAGAATATCGTTAAATTTTTATCCTTGACGGGCCTAGGTAGCGATATTTTGAGAAATGGTGAGCACAATACATCTATGTAGGTCACAGTGCTACAGGTCTTAACATCTGACAATAGCCCAAAAACCCTGAGTAAAAAAAATACGTACTATGTTTTGACAGGTGACCGGTCCACATATAAAACATGAATCCGTTCCTTTACAAAATAAAGGTAGCGAGACAACGTGTTGTGTGACGAGTAGTTTCTCAGTGCGTACAAAAGACTTCAACGAGATTAACTCACAAGAACAGAATAGCCAAATGTCAAGGTGTCTGTTGGTATAAATCTGTTAAACTATGACAATACTGTACTGCAATAATATCCTACTACGGTTAAAAAGTGCCACTTTAATCCTATTTATTTGTTCAACTTAAATACTTCACGAAACGGCGTAACTCAATAAATATGGGTGGACAGATTAAAACTAATTGGTTAATTGTTACCCGTGTGTCTTCGTATGCTTTTTATTAATACATACATCTATTTAAATTGATATTTTATTAAGATTAATTCCGACTTAAAAAAACAAAAAGACACATATTAGCATTTATAATATTAGTAAATCGTTGCTGATAAGATACATTCCCATTGTTGGTTTCATATACCTAAATTCAATCCAGGTTGGTAAGTCCAATCGTGTATTCTGTGAAACATAGTTTATAATCGTAACAGTATATTTCTTATTGAAGCAAACTCCTTGATGGTTTTTTTTATATGTATTTAAAATTTTAGAATATTTTTTTGTGACTTTTTTTATAACAATCTATTATGTATCGCTGTCGTACTATTTGCATGTTATAATTATCTCTATAGTTTTTCTCGCAATATCATCGACACATCTCACTCTTCAGGTACATCAGATATTTTTGCTTCACATACATACTATAGGTATACATACGTATGCCTATTACAAAAAGATAACTGATAGTCGTCTGTACAAGATATACGTGTAAAAAAATTGAAAAACTATTATTGAGGGACTTTATAAATTTAATATGTTAGGATTTGTATTGGTTTTGTCTGTATATTTGTACTAGAAATTGTGGTAATCATCATATAAAGTTGTGTGGTTTTTATATTCCAACTAGTTTACAAACAAAAATGTTATACACGTACCAAGTTGCGGACTCAGCTAGTAATCTTACAATTAATATATAATATTATAAACGCGAAAGTTTGTGAGTATGGATGGATGTTTGTTACTCTTTCACGCAAAAACTACGAAACGGATTTTGATTAAACTTTACAGTAATATAGCTTATACATGAGAATAAAATATAGGCTATAAATTTCACGCGGGTGAAACCGAAGGGATAGCTAATATTAATATATAGGTACTTCTAAAATATATGCAGCATTAGATTCATCACCCACATGACTATTGTTCCGTTAAATATTTGACATTGACTTCATGATTAATTATAAAAGCATCCTACGTTTCACCCACTCTCTACAACTTCCGACCTAACAAACAAAATGCAGTCTCATGAATACTGCATGATTTGGGTAACTTACCAGTCTAAATGTATGTAGTACATGTAATGTAAACTTTTTATACGCCGATATTTATAAAATCTAACTTCCCTAAATCCCTAAAAGTAGATAATTATTAGTTTCCACAATTGTTCGGTACGAATGCAATGTGCGTGTAAGAGTGAAATTTAATTAAATGCAAAAGGATCATAGATATGAGTACCGAAATGAATTGCATAACTCCTTACTTTTGTATACTGAAAAACAAAAAACTTTAAAAGAATGTTAGAATGATAATAGAGGAATTTTACAATATTTTTAACAGGTAGCGCCATCTACATTCACATTGGTGAACTATGTAAGACAGCACAAGAATTGGCTGATTTGCTAAGCAGATACTGTACGAATCAGTTTACAAGTAATTCGTTTTAATTAATTAAAAAGATTTTCAAAGAAACACTCAATAGCAGAAATAGAAATAATACTAACATACTTGTATAAGTACTGAAAGTGAATTTTAATGTCTAACTAGCTAGAGTTGCTTTCAACCGAGACAACATAGATATTTAGTTTCGTAATTTACCAACAGATGTCGCTACTGTACAAAACTTCGTTGCTTCGTTAATAACTGATGGTGTACCGGTTAGTGCTAATTTATAAGATACATATAATTACGTTTGGTTCATTTTATATTATAGCATATTGCTATAATTTAAATGATTACTGATCATTACAAAGACGGTCTAAGTACTATTCTGTATCAATATTTATCACTAACTTAGAGTAGCAATGCTGTCCGCGTGTAATATGTGTTACATAGCTAACTAAGGATATTATCTATTTATATATTTAGTACATACCAATTTTCATATCCGTCCAGTAGTAAAGAAAACATCTATCCATTCCCAGAAACTTTCGCGTTTAATATATTAAACAGAATCGCCATGACAACAAGCCAAGTGATGGGCATGTCTCTCTCCATAAGAGGAAATTAGCATTTATATGATATCATTAATTTTCTATGTCACCACATCAAAATCATATAAAGTGTATTTTACTACTATAAACTTATTTTCTCTTATAGACTAAGTAAGTAGTGGATATGAAATGTATATATAACTTCTTTTAATAAAATAAATTAATGTATTGATATAAAACAAAGTTAAGTTTCTATATTTATGTTAGAAGTAGGTATTCGCTTTTTTCAAGATACGATAAGTTTTATCATTTACAAATATAACTAATATTATTAACCTCAATTTTTATGCTACCGAATTTTTTAAGTTATTTTTTCTATTGCATATATTGCTGATAAATTGATTGTTACATACAAATTATATTTGTTCATACCACTTCATAGCCGACGTTACTTGCTGATAATGAAGCTATTTATAAATAAAAGAATTTCCTTAATCGGTTAAGTATTCTTTTAGTTTAACAATTAAAACTAACATGCATAAATAATCTAAACCTTAAATATAAACCTAAACCTTTCTTTTTAAAATACACTAGCCGTTAAAATAGCCTATGTCCGTAATCATAAGTAATCTATAATCATTTAAAATTTCGTTAATATCGATTCAGTTGTTTAGTCGTAAAAAGGTAACAAACAGACAAATTTTATTTTAATTCAAAAAGTAAACGAAATCACGAGTAACAACTAGTATAAATGTAGATATAGGTTTACGCAATTCTATTTGCGGCTGCTAGTTCCTTAATGCAGCATCATTTGACCGCCTCGGTAGTTTATCATACCACTTCTCTTTCAATGGTGCGGGTTCGATTCCTCACAACAAATTGTAATTTGTATTCATGAGTAAGATTTGTATATTAATACAGTGAGAGTAAGATTTGTACAATAAAATTATTATTGTAAATTTTGTATTCATGTAGAAAACAACAGAACTCTAGTCAACACATAAAACAGCAAAAATAGATAGATCCACGTAACCAATTTTGTAACTGTACGTTATTTTATTATCTATAATATATCGAGTGTTACAAACCAGATAAGAATAAACAAGTATTAATAGGTATTAATGCAATTAACGGTAGCATTAAGGAAGTGCAATTATCAAGCGCCAGTAAAGAGTAGGTCGAATATCGGTAGACTAGGCGACAGTACAAATATGAATAAGTACACATTTCTTTTATTAAAACAAGTTCTAAATTAGTTTAGAGAACTTCTACGAGGATTAGGTGTTTATGATTGATATAATAAAAAAAATCATATTGATGAAGCCAATTTTGAGTTTTACAAGACTAGTGAACTACAATCGCTTTAATTAAAAGCATACCTACGTATACTGATATATATCAATATATTTCATATAGACAATCACACGTACACAAACTAGAAGATAAGATAAATTTATCTTTAATCAATTAAATTCTTTTAACTATTTTAACATTACAATAATTCTTTCGCCATATAATAAAAGAGTATAAACGATGTCAACTGTACGTACTCTCATACAAGTTTGTACAAGATTTTGACGTACGAAAGTACCAAAATTATTCAAAACATTATGATGTAGACTATAGTCAAATTAAATGAGATTTTATCAGATTTTTTTATTTCCTAGTAGGTTATTTGCACAGAGTATATAGTGCCTAGTACTCCGTGCTATTACTAAGTTAATTGGCGGTCGAGATACACGTTTATTTCTAAATTTCCTGTGCGCTAGCATATCGTGCAAATGACACCTTGGCATTTTAGATGTATAAATTGGCACTAACACAATGGGTAGTATTCTTTCTTCATCTCATTACACTTATATTGCCGTAAATGTCGTGTTACGGCAATCTAAGTGTAATAGACATAACACTTATATTACGTATCAACACAGTTTTATCGTCCGATGAAGCTGTAAAGGCCAACAGTAATAAAATTCATAAACGCTATAGATCACTCTGTATATCTAAGTGCAAGTCTTTTCATACTTAGATTACCATAGATACCGTGAACTTAGATAAAGAACTTTGTAAATAATCTTACCTGGGTTTGCGGGCGTCCTGCGACGTCGCGCCGACGCTCTCCTCACAACCGTTGACACCAAGGAATCCATCTCACTCCCGGAGTCCCATTTGGACCATCGTGGAACGAGTCTTGTTGGCACTCGTCCATCGTCCTCAGTGTCCCTATCACTACTGGTTGGGGGCAGGTTGGATTCATCACTTTCAGCAGGTGGAGGGTCCACTTTTACGTTCATATTGAACACTCCATTCATAGTTACATCCCTAATATCATCAGTACATGTGAAGGGATGCGTTAATGTTCGACGTATGTTACTTTTTCTGTGTTTCACCTTCATTGATCCTTCTGATAATGAACGTTTGCCATTCAGTTTGTTGTCTGTTTTTGTGTCGCCGCGGGAACATTTCAAATCGGATGGTGACAAGGACTTTTTTCTCGAGTTACGTCTTTTGTTACAACGTTTTTGTCTGCTAGATTCACGTGTTGTCTGCATCGTGGCTACATTGATGAGATCTGCAACAAAAAGTTCATACTTTAAATGTTTGTGTGAACCGAGAGCGAAAAGTACAAGTTTTACTCGAAAAACCAGTTTATTAGACATTGTATGTATGAATTTTGATCGCAGCAATAGCCTTACATATTAATCAAGAAAATAAGAGAACATATGTAGGAAGAAAGTACATAATCCTATTGATATTGGATTATTGATGTACAAGAATACAGTTACAAATAAGAAAGCTTATAAAATATTGCAGTAATTACATTGCACTAGACATTTTTTAGATTATATCGATATAGGTAGACTATGTACAAATTAAGTGTGTGAGAATTAAGAAACAATTTATTAAAAAACCTTGCTCCATATTGTTTCTTGTCCTTATGTAATTCGAAACAAACATTATTTTGTTGTATAATATTACGGATACACAAAGTAATAACAAAACAGATTAAACTACGAAAATTTAATAGATTAGTAAATTAAAATTTACATTTTATACAATACAGATAAATACGAACTACAAATATAGAGAAGGTTGAACATCTTATTTAAAATAAAATGATTCAGTTTTTGATAATGTCGTTGCAATCATGAACAATCTGCTTTAAAAGAACACTCTATGGACCAGGCATCGCCGAGTAATTGATATTTTAATAGTTTTTAACGGACTTGAAACTTTAAATCAAAACTGTGTTTTTCAAACTTTCCTCCATTGTATCTCAGAAACGGCTGGACCGAATTACTTGAAATTTACAGGGCACACTCAATATATGTAAACGCATGGAATGAACTATTATCAATCAAAACTTCGATTTTTTTATAGCAAAAAACAAAAAAAAAAACGCCATTTGATAACTTTTATTTCAAATGTCTATCAAAAATCCAATTTTTTTTATATTCATTTGATTAGAGGTCATTCCGTGCTTTTAAGCCTACAAATTGTTTTTTTTTTTTGTCAGATATGCCGATAGATGGAGGAATGCTCTTTTTTTTGAGAGCGCTTAACTCTAGTTTGACTGAATATTTTTACTGAAATTTTATATTTAACTGTCCAAATATGTGTTAATAAATGGCTTAAACTACGAAAATTTAATAGATTAGTAAATTAAAATTTACATTTTATACAATACAGATAAATACGAACTACAAATATAGAGAAGGTTGAACATCTTATTTAAAATAAAATGATTCAGTTTTTGATAACTGCAATCATTTCTTTTAACACCCGCGCCGATAATTGAAAGCTAAAATAAAGAAATAATTACCAATCTTATTAATATTATAGACGCGAATGTTTGTCAGTATGGATAGATGGATGTTTGTGACTCTTCCACACAAAACATACGGAACTGATTTTGATGAATCTTTACAGCCATGCATCAGAACAACACATAGGCTATAATTTAAAAAGATATGTAAATTGGGTGAAATATAAGAGAAATGTCAAGTAAGTATGTGCGATGCAGACGAAGTTGCTCGGGTCAGCAAGTTAACAATAATTATTACATAAATAGATATGGTCAATGCTTAAGAAAAAAATTAAGTAAAAATTGTTTTATAAAATGGTACCTTTTATTTATTTATTCTTTGTTGAATAAATAAATTTTGTGAAGAAGACGAGCTAAATGCGATATGACAATCTTTACCAGGTAACCTTTGGGTATACTTAAATAACTATAGGTACAATAGATAAATATACTATTAAAATGTAAATATACTAATAATAATTTCATACATATCCACAGCATCGAACATTAATATTTAAGCATCATCAAGACCAGGCGAGATCATACTAATTTAAAGTTAAAATGCTTTCCAATTTCTTCTCAATAAATCTAACATATCACTGCATTATACTTCTTATGTTCTTAGATTAGAAATAATATTTTAATACAATACCTTGAATACAATCCAGTAACCACAAAACCAAAGAAATTCACATTAACTCCGCGTAAACAAAGACATAAACCCACAAACACACAAAACAAACATGTATACACTGCGGTATCTTTACAAAAATTGTATGTACCAGTAACGTAGCAAAATAATCACAGCACAGATAAGAAAATAGTTATCTTGTCAGCTCTATTTTTGAACGCAACACTGAGGCTATATCCTTACTATACATTTTATTTTACAGAAATTATATAATTTATAACAAAAAGAAAGAATCGGAATGAACACGATGATTATGAAATATGTAGTATTTACTCATAACGTGAACAGATCGAGTATGACACGGAATACGTCTACAGTCGACTAACCTGTAAACTGAACTAAACAGCCTGAGCCTGAACAGTGGTAAGCAGCGTGAGTCCGTACATAGTTCACAATGTATTTAACACCGTAATCACAACTATCACCTGATAAAACATTGTACGATTACACTATGAAGATAATACAAGACTTTCTATTTGAGAAATACTTAAGAACCTTAACCTTGGCCTCGGATTGCAATCCATAATTAAAATTGTAACAATACCTGTAGAATAGTTTGCTATTTTGGTCTTCCATTAAATATTCCCTACGTTCATTATATTAACTATAACTTCTTTTATAGTTGTGTTTTGCTTAGTAATTTATACTACTATATTTTTACTATAAACCCTATCAAACGGTGATTACTAAAACATATATTATAAATAATCTGTATGTGTTAATGAACTCGCAATTTCAATATTTTATAACTTAATAATATAAATAGTGAATTTAGAAAACACTTTCGCTGTTTGAAATGTACTCATTGTTCCAGAATGGCATAAGTTTATGAGTTGTGTATATATTGCATTAATATATGGACAAAAACTAAAATAGACTAATAGGTAGTAAATCTTTATTGTGTACAGAAAACAAATACCAAAGAAAACAGTATGTACAACAACAGTACATTACAAAAGGCTTTCTTATAAGCAATTTATGTGTAACATAATATAGTAAAACAAAGACACCGAAAAAGGAATAAAGGATAATTATATAAAATGTATCTTTTTTCAGAAACTTTTACAATATAAACCTTATACATACATATTTATAACAAAAGCATTTTAACTTTTGGCTACCAATATTGAATTCCTACTTTAGCGAAATGAATTTAAATAAACACTAGCAGAATACAGTTTCCTAAATCACAATATTTACTATTAACAATTTTATAATAAATAAATTCGATTCTATAAAAAGATTCATCACTACGGCTTGAGAATTACAAAAAAAAAGTACAGAAATTTAATTTTCGTTGTCGGATAATAGAGGCTTTTATGATATCACACTACATTCAGTTTTTTTTTTCTAAGTGGGTCAAATGCCTCAGCGGAAATGTTTATGGGTATTTTATAAACTCTTAAGTGTACGTAATTGATGGTAATTGATAGAATTAAAATCATTCACACAGCTCTATCATGCTATATAACAGCATCAAATGGCAGAATAACATTCTAAACTACATTATATATGTATATGTACATGTAATAATTTTAATAGTCATCATTACGCAATAAGCACTTTAACTAGATTGATTAAGGTTAAGTTTTACTTATACACCACTATAACTATACTAAGAATGAATAAGATTTTATATTAACATTCGTACTAAAAAAAAGCTTTTCTTTTTACACAATCATTACCGGTCCAAGGTCCGGGGCTACAAATAGTTATCAAATTTCTTGTAAATTGGAGAATATAAAATCATTATATTCTAGAAAAGCAATGTATTGATATATCTATTAAATTGGGGATTTCTTTAAAGTAAAACATTATTCATAATTATTATGTAAAACATAATCTAAATTACATTTCCTTTGTTTTCTATAAAATTACTAGCTTGTCTACGACTTCGTCTACATTATCACGGCTGACCGAGATAAAATTAGTCTATAATTCTCCATTCCAAATTCTACTTCTGTGCCGAAATTCATGATGATTGGTGAAGCCGGTAAGGCGTGAAAGCGTAACAAACAAGCTTACCTTTGCATTTATAATATTAGATAGAATTAGAGTACCTCTATCGTTAAAAAATACATAAATTACAAATAATTCCATGCAAAATAAAATTTTATAAGGCCCTATTAAACGTATTAACTGTTAACCTAAATTGCTCTTACGAAAGACCTTTTTAAATAACGAGACTGACGATGCCAGTTTATGTCATGGTGGCCTTTGTTTCAACACCATTAATGGTCTATTTGTGTTTTTGGTGATATTTTACAACAGGTAAGAATTGGTCAACCCAAGGCTATTGTACAAGACACAGCATTTTTTAGGATGCTAATGGGAATGGTGCACTCCGCCTGTACGTATACGCTGGTGGGTCTCCAGTGGAGGTTGATAGAATAAACACGAAATAAGTTATGTTAGCCCAGTAAACGTTTTTTATTTTAAAATACTATGCACATTGCAAGAAAATCTGTATTTATATTTTTATCATTACGTAGGTACTACGTACATTTTTAAGTAATACAAACATACGTAGTTAATGTCTGCTTGCATTGTATGTTTAGCCATAATGGCCATACTGCCATGTAAAAGGCGTATCTTTCTGTTACACCTAAGGCACACCAAAGACAATTTTCCACATTAATCAGTATTTTATTTTAAATTCTATTCATAAGCAAATAAAGGTTAAAAAAGGATTGCCACAAAAAGAAATACAATAGTAATGTGTAAGACTCACTTGCTGTCTTGGTCTTGAATAGTTGTACCGTTATGTAGTCGATTATTGCTGGTTGGTGTAAGTATGAATGACAGTTCATCTTCTCATAAACAAAAGGGGCTCACGTTTCCCATGGCCCGAGACAATGACAAGGTTTTATCGTGCTCATAATATCTACCCTATTCTATATAACTCCCGACGTTTTCTTCATTAGAACTTTTTCACAGTTATAAAAATCGTAATAAATGTACTATGTTTGTATACATGTAAGTCAGCCGCCTAACAACACTGTGCTGATGTCCATCAAACTACACTCTAAGCTTTTCATTAATATAATATACGATTATGACAACAACGCGATGTATA